ATATTTTTTTTTTACTTTTAACTTGTTAATGCTATTTTATTTATATTTCAGAAATATTTTGGACTGTTTATTTCTTGTGTATTAATTTCTCTTATTGCCTTGTTTTTTATGCTGCGTCAACGCAAACATTTCCCAAATTGGGATCAATAAAGTACGTACCTATCTATCTATCTATCTATCTATCTATCTATCTATGAAATGCCTAAGGTTAGGTGCATTTTGATGGTTTTGTTTCAGTGATATAAAAATGCATGAAACTGTAAAATGGTTCCCCTCAAACAGCCTCAGCTCCTCCTGTGGATGGTAATTCTTCCAGGGGGATAAACCAGGGATTCAGCTTCAAAATACGTTTTCAATCCCTCATGTAAGAGCCGGTTGGAAAAACACTTTTATGTTTTACTGCAGCACCATTTGTGTTGATTGGGGAAAAAATGTATTCATTGATTTTTTTTAACCACTTAAGCTGAAGGACAACACTGGCATATTAACACCACTGTGGAGTTGTTATTATCAAAGCCAAAGTACAACTTGTAAAAAAAAAATGGTTATCCTTTTTTCTTTTTATAAATGAAATGCTCATTCTTGATAATTATTGTTTGAACTGTGTATATTTGAATCCTTTCTCTTCATATTTCTTACCGTATTGTTAGTTTTTCCTTATTGGATTCATGTCTTCTGATCTAGTGGTCGACTGCTTGATTAGTTAGTTAATAATATTCACAAGGTTAATGTTATACATACAGTCATGGTTTGAATCCCAACACCAGGAGATATTTAGATGTGGTGTCTTTCAAAGGCTCTTTAATGTGAATCACTGTACATACTATTCATATTTTTTCAAATTAATTAATAAATTAGTAACATGGGGTTTTTGTCTGTTTGAGGGACTACTTCCTGTGACCTTACCTGCCCATCCACATGCTGGCCTGGCAGGAGTCTGTGGAGGGCAGCTGGGCGGAGGAGGCTCCCTCTGCAGACAGGACCTCTGCAGCCTGGCTGGTGACGTCCCGGTACAGCTGGATGAACTGGTACAGGTTCATGATGCGAGAAGCCTCCACCATGCCGGTCTCTTTGTTGATCTGAGAGCAGGCAAAGGAAGTCACAACACAACGTCAAAGCTGTGGGCTGATGTTCTCGTTGGCATGTGATGTTTGTCTCCTAAGCTATGGAACGCTCTGCCCGCAAACCTACGGGCTGCTCACTCTGCTGTCTCTTAGAAAGTCAGCTAAGGACACTCCTGTTTGGGCAGGCGTTTGGGTAACCCGTGTGCTTTTATTTTATTCTATTGTATCCTATGTTTTTATTGTGTATTGTTTTTAGCACTTCTTAACACGTGGCTTGTGTGGTCATTTATTCTTTTAGGATTTCTATGACGTTTTAATGTTTTGTCAAGCACTTTGTGACTATGTCTGTGAAAAGCACTTTATAAATAAATGTTACTTACTTTGTGCAAAAGGTTGTTTGGACTCACCTTGGTACAGAGGACTCTGACAGCCACCTTCCACAAGGCGGTGGCATCGGACCCTGGCTGCACCTCGAACAGAAGGTGCTTCTGCTGTCCAGAGGCTAGCTTAGCCGTACTGAGAGAGATCCAGCAGGACAGACAGAGTATACACCTCGATTAAAGCATTCTGAGTCAGTTTACCTCTCGTCTGCAATAGACAGAGCTCCTCATGCAAACACACACAAGGTAATGTCACTTTTTTTCCCTCTAGATTTTAAGTGTATATTTGGCCAAACTGCTGTGTGATGTTAATGTGCTGGGAACTCAGCTTTACAGACACAAGAGATTATTCAAAATATGAAACATTTTCAGATACCAAGTAGAAATGAAACTACATACTATGCACTATATCACCACTGACATTCCACTTGTCTTCCAACTTTGCGATTCCACTAATCTGCCATGTCATTCAAATGTTCTTCCTTTGGTCACAACGTAGAATAACTCACTTTAACCTTGTTATCCTGTCTCTCAGTTACAATCTCTGAAAGCTAGTTAGCTAAAATTAGATTGTCAGAAACGGCCTCGTGTCTCGGGAATAAGGTCCAAGATGAAGGAATAGCATTGAAGCTTGATGTGCAGAGTTTAGCTCTCAATCCAAAATGTAGGACAGCATATTAGGGCCATTGTAGGTAAAGTCATTATGTTTCAAATAAGCAGTAAGGCACCATGGTAGAGTAATGTCTAGAAGCCACAAATAAAGGGCTAACAATACAAAACATACAGCAATTCTTCGTGAGACAAGTCATTAGCAGGTGTTTGCTTTTTAAACCTCCTGATTCCACTGTCTCTGAACAACATTCAACAACTGGAAAACAGCTGGATGTATCCGCACAATTTAAGACACTTTATACCTGAATGTACTGAAAAGACTTTCACTTACACGTCGTTAAGTTCGGACACTCTCCCCAGAAACTCCTCGTAGGTCAGGTAGCCGCTGTCTCGTACGAGTCCGGCGTGTTTCACCAGCTTCTCAGGCAGACGGTTCAGCGCCTGACCTGAGAGCTGCTGGCCCATCCTGGCTGCAGCAGAGAGAGAGAGGCAGCGGCAGGAGGCTGCAGCGCATCCAGGTCAGCAGAGCCTGGGGGGAAACACACAGGTACAGTCTTTAGGTTTTCTTTGTTGGAAGTAGTCAAACGCATTTCCTGTTTGAAAAGCTGCACAAATGTGCTCGTAAACTTCCTGAAAATGCATGAAAGTGAAACGACTTGAATTAAAGTGGTTAAAATGCATTGCACTGTTTAAAGACTGAAAGTTACCTGTAAACTGGCAGAGAGTGATTTTTGTGTTACATGTGGACATCAAACCTAGAAGTTAACAGCTTGCTTGTCTGAATAAAGATTAGGTTTTATCTTTCTGCGTACGATAACTTCATACCCCTCCTAGTCCTCCTTGGAAGACACTCACAAGTTACACACCAGAGAGAGTATTAGTTTAAGATAGAGCTGTTCATTACATGTTGCTTGTTAGACGCTTTTATCCAAAGCAACTTACATACTCAATACTGTGGGCAATCCCCACAGGAGCAATTTGGGGTGAAGTGTCTGCAGGGACACAACGACATGCTGACTGCAGTGGGGTTTGAGCCTGATCCGAACACCAACGCACTAACCCACTGCGCCACACGCCTCTTTTACACACGTTTATCTTTTATGACTGTTTATAGACTGTTTCATGTTTCAGCGGCCACGTACACCCAGCCAACAACACCTACTAGGGTTATTGCTCTCTAACCACAACTTCCTGGAAACAAAGCTGACGTCTGTAAACTTATTTTTGTTTTTTCAAGAAAGAATCCTTAATTGAGTAAAAGTACTGATACCACACAGTTAAAATACTCTATGTTAAGTAAAAGTACTGCATTGAGTAAAAGTATTTAAGTAAGGTTAGGAAAATGTACTTTAAGTATTTGGGGTAAAAGTTAAGAATATTTTTAAGCAAAATCAGCAAAAAAGAACTGAAATATCTTTGAACAAAAATTGTTTTAATTCAAAAATACTTCTCTGTTTTAGTTAGTTAGATATAATGTTGGATCGTTTATTCTATACCAAATAATCATAATTTGAAGTTTTCCTTTAGTATTGTGTGTCAAAAGTAACTAGTTAACAAATCTGTAAAATAAATGAAGTGCAGTAATAAAGTACAAAATGTCCTTCAAAAATGTAGTGGAGTAGAAAAGTACAAAAAGAAGTACAAAAAGAAAACACTCAGGTTAAGTACAAGTACCTCAAAACCTCTTGTATCTGTAGATACAGATTCATGCAAATAGACTAAACTGTTGAGTAAGGGTGAACATGTTGTATTATGAAACTGAAAGAAAAACTAAGTTCAGAAGTATACTTAATTACAGTACTTGAGTAAATGTACTTGATTACTTTACGCCACTGTAAGTAACTAACATTTGACTCAACAAAACTAAGATACATCTAAAACAATGTAAGCTTTGGTTGATAGAAACTAAGATGAAAACAAAACGTATTACGCGATAAACTGGTTCTATTTGCTGAATTAGCATTATATAATAACGTCCACATACATAGTAAGCTAACAAAAATAAACAGCTCGATAACAGTTAGAAATGTGACTCGTCACTGTGGTGAACAGCAGCTTTATTCTTATTTTAAAACCCATTTGATTTAAGATATAACACACATAAGAAGCTTACTCTAAACATGACTTGCTAATGTAGTTAGCATCATTTCGCAGGTAAACAAGCATTCAGTAAAGCTGTAAAACCTCTCTAAATAAAGACAGGTACATTTGATTCTTCATCATGACATGGGAAATTGTGATGTTGTTTTCTCACCAAACACTCCACAACTTTAAGGAGGAGCAGCTGGATCTGTTAGCTCCTGCTTGTTGACAACAACACGGCGCCGTTTGACGACGTCTTCTTCTTCGTTGGTGTTTGTCGGCGCATTACCGTCACCTACTGGAGCGGGAGTGTAGAAGAAGAAATGAATTAAGGAAAAATCAGTCATGTCAAGAGTTTTAAAAGTATTTTCTCAGGCAAAAACTCCACAAATTAACGATTGGTTTATTTTTATTCTTCCTGATATTTCCTCATATATTCATGGACAGTAGGCCTATATGTTTATACCACATGATTGTGTTGAAGTGCACAAATAAAGTTAAACATATATAAGTACGTATTATAAATGTTTACTGATTGAAGACATTTTACTTTATTTATTTTTATTTTCGACAATAAAAGTAGTATATTTAGTAGTTTTATAGTTAACATCTGGACTTTTCTGCGTTCAATGTGGAGATTCAGGCTGCGAAGTTCCAGAATTCGCCTGTCTTCTTGGGAACCGGGATGATAGCTTTGCCTCTTTTATGCCTGTGAACGGAGGAGGGATGCTGCGAAACTGGAGTGAATAACCCAGTCTCAGTGTCCTGCCCCTCCACTCCGTTAACACACAGCTGCGCTTCCATTCCCCATAAGACAGCGATAAAGCTGTGGTACTCTCTGGTGACCCGTCCCGCCGCAAAACTCCCCGCGAAGGGA